CCCCCCCCCCCCCCCCCCCGCCATGTGGGCACAACTTGCAAAGCGCAATGCGCGCCCACCATCAAGAAGGCGGGACTATTCACTGTGGCTGCCGCGCATGAGCGCCCACCTCATAAGGCGGTACCATTGTACCGTCGAGTGTGGCAACGACCGCTCATTACATGGGCAAAGGGCATGGCATGCTCAGAGCCCCTTTCCCCGGTTGCTCGCCTCATCCGCATGTCTATAAGTAGTGCGCGCTCTTCTCGTCTTCGGTGGTCGCAATCACCATCAGCTCGTCTCCTTTTCTCCTTGTGCAGTTCTGGACTGCTGTGAGGCATCAGACCGGAAAAAAAGGCGCGACGATGGCGACGTGCGCGGCAGGCTGTGCTTCTGACAAGCCGCACTTTCAATCATGCCTCCGCCGACCGCGCGTCTTGCTTCCGTGTCATGGCTCATGCACATCACCCTCTGACAATTCCTGTCAGCTTGTGCGTGTCGCCATGCAGCTTCATCAAACGATTGCCATGCTTCCGTTGCCAGTGTCATGTCATTGCGAAACAAGTGCTGCGCTGTTGTACGTCTTGCATTGCCATGCAAGTGCGGCACTACTTTTGCGATCCGACCGACTCCTCGTCGTCGTTGTTCTTGGGCTTGTACTCGGCCTCTCGCACGCGCTCGAGCGCCTGCTTTGCGTTGACTACGCCCTCGGATCCATCGCCAATGTCACCGTCCCAACCATTGTCCACAAGGTACTGCAGCCAGGCTCGGTCCTCGTCGGCCAGATCGAAGCGCGTCGTCTCGGGGATGAAGAAGTACACGAGCGCGATACCGATGAGGCCCAAAATGGCCGAGATGATAAACACCCAGCGCTTGCCAGCATGGATCTGGATGGGTGAGAAGACCTGTGTACCAATGGCAGCTCCAGTCTTGCCTATAGCGGCAGATACGCCGTACGCCGAACCCCTCAGCGCACTTGGGTATGACTCGCTGCTGACTAAGCCGCAAAGATTTCCGGGTCCGGCGTTGCCACTACTGCTGATCAGGCCGAGGAGGATGACGGCGGCGACGGTGGAGGACATGACGCGGTCGTATGCGCAGCCGATGATGAGGCCAAGTACGAGGAATCCACCAAAGCCCAGCATGAAGGTCTTGCGCGAGCCCAAGCGGGGCAGAAGTACAACGCCCACAAAGACACCCGGAATTGCAATCGATGAAAGCAGCATCTGGTACTGCGCGGTCTTGAGCAAGGTGGGCGTTTTGAGGATCGACGCAATAATGCTTCCCGAAAAGACATTGAGCGGGAAGACGACAAAGTCGTAGATGAACCACACCCCCGCAGTGCCCAGGAGACGAGGCCAGTATCGTTTGAGCGCGAGCATGTAGGGGACCTTTTTGCGCATGGCGGTCTTGCGATACAAGCTGGCGTTCATGACGAGCATGCGGAAGTAGAAGATGATGAGCGGGAAGAGTGCGCCAAAGCCGAAGGTTACGCGCCAGATGATGCCGAGCTTGTGGAATCCTGCAGCGTCGGTGGTGTTGTGGTACCCCGTGGCGGATAGGACGATCATAAAGACGCTGAGCGAGACAATGTTGCCGAATGCAAGAACGAGGTTGGTGACGAGGATGAACACCTGGGAGCGGTGTTTCTTGCCCAATCTTTCGTTGGCTGCCTCGCTCGCCGCGGTACTTGAGGCGGGATACTCCCCTCCCACCCCACATCCCACCGCTCCACGAGCAACGGTGAGCCACCAAAACATATTCTGCGGATTGCCACCCACGGGGTAGGCGGCCGTAGCAAAGATCGCGCCCGTCACGAGCAAGATCGTGGTGATTGTCACGCCTGCTTTGCGCCCTACGCGGTCGCAGATGATGCCGACGCTGATTTGGCCAATGATGGCGCCGACGAGCGAGGCGTTCGAGATGCGTGTCGCGACGGCCGAGGTGTAGACCTTGGAGCCGAAGCGGGTGCGGAAGACGACGTTGGCCATCGTCATGAGCGAGTTCTGGTAGCCATCCGACAAGAGCGCGCATCCAGCCGCGAGGATGAGCAGCACCGAGTTGTTTGCGCGGGGCTTGACGAGCGGTGTAGAGGCGGACTGGGTGGGTGTGAGCTCGTGCTCGTCCTTGTGCACCATGTCGTCCGAACCGGGCGAGGGGGGAGCGCGCCCCTCAATCGGAAGAGTAGAGACCTCCATGAGCAGCAGTGATGTGTGCAATACAGGGGGTCATGGTAGATCGGAAAGGGGAGCACTGATGGGTGGCGGGTCGACCCGAATTTATATGTTGCGTTCGAGACACCTCGAACGCTCTTGCGCCGTTGCATCCGACTCCTCTCTTGACCTGTGCCGACTCGTGCTACCCGACGCTCGTATTTTAGCCTCGGTGCGTGCATTGTGCCCGTTGCGTGTGAGGTTGTGGCGAGTGCAGGGGGTGTTCAGGAACGTGCCATTTCGCCTTTGGCTGTCGCACCTCGCCTCGCATGGTGGGGGTGTTAGCCGAACCCTCGGGCGCCTCCCAACCGAGCCCTCGGCAGCCCTGCCTACCTGGCTCCCCCACCCCATGTCCGCTCTCATCCTGTCATCCCGTCATCCCCAACTTATCGACCGTTTCCTCCTTGGCAGCGGTGAGTGAGTTACGTCGGGAAGATGAAGAAAGTTTTTCGATAACATGCGAAGATGAAAGGAAGGTATCGTAGAGGTGGCGGTGGGGATGGCGGAGCTTGACAGCGGTAAAACGACGGCCGGCGGGTCGGCTTTTGAAAAAAAAAAAAAAAAAAAAAAAA